ATATATATATATATATATATATAAATAAACTACTACTACTTGTGCTACTATTCCTACTTGTCGTTTTTCACTTATTGCGGGTCTTCAGGGTACAGATCCCACACAATAAATGAGGAACTACTGTATTGCCACATAATGAGTGACTTCTGAACAAAGTCTGTTCTTTCCACACTTGAAATGTCTGCATTTAACCTGAATCTTCTCATAAGGCCAACCAGGGAAAAAAAAAGGTTTTATTTTTTATGTCTCGTTTATAGTTATTAAAATAAATGATTGTTGGATAAAAGTATCCTTTCATTATCTACTTACTTAAAAAAAGCCACACATGAAGACAGGTGAAGATTTTTTTTAACCCTGTTTACTTGCAATGGCAGATGTTGGCTTACACAGATGTTTCATTGAAGTCCCCGTTGCGAAGATCTGCAACAAGCAGCGTGCAGAAAGTGTTTTATATACATACTTATCAGCACGATGACCTCGGCCTCTTAGACTCGGAGGCGTCAGGTGCCTGCAGGCTCCTCTCTGAGAGAGAAAAACATCTTTCTGGCCTCACACACATGGGTCAACATTAATTTAACATTAGCAGTGATAAACATCCATAAAGCTGTACCTAAACTCCCCTGGCAGTGATCTCTAAAAGTGAAAAAGATAATCAGAGTAACTCAACGAGTAAGTCTCTGAGTGAGCCGTGCTGCAGCTGCGTGTGCTTCTCTGTATGTTCTGTAATGCCAAGTAAACGGATGCCGCTCAGATGAGATAAGCCGATTTAAACGAGGGTCCTTCATGGCCCTTTGTAAGTAGTTGAAGTGTGAAAGTTAATTTGTCAGACTGACGACCTGGTTTCACGGGCGTCTCTGCCGGAGCTCACGTCACGGGACTGAACAGGTGCCTTTATTTACAGGTGAAATATAAAAAGAGAAACAGTTGGAGGTGAGAGCGGCGCAGGCGCTGTTAGAGTAATTGTCTGAAAGATGGCACAACAGCACAACATCTGTCGCGTTCATTAGAATGCATTATGGCCGGGGCCTTCCACAGAGGCTGCACAATTAAGAGTCATAATTAAATTGGTGAGTGGGGTAGACGGAGGAGCGGAGGCACTTCTGAGCTCAGTGGCAGGCAGTGAAATTAATGACCCTGAGCCCAACACCAACTCTGGGAGCGATAGGTGCAATCATCTTCATGCTGTTGCATGTTCCCGTTACAGTTTCTCCACCTTTTTTTTTTTTTACCTCCCCTCACTGTTTTGTCCCTTAAAGCCTTCCTAGCTGATCAGCTGACTGCACCAGCGGACATTAATTGTGCATTAGCGAGATGTTTAGGGGCCGGGGAGCAGTTACTTGGAGACTTGGTGGCAGATGTCACTGAAAATAGTTGTGTTGAAACATCGATTCCCTGGCAACTGCTCACACAGCTGCACTCGGTGGCTTTCTTTACGCTGCGTCTCTCTCTCCACCCGTGACCTCCTTTCACCACCTCAGCATCTTATTCATCACCATGATCTGTGTCTGTCCGCTTTTTCTCTCACCCCCACACTGCGTTGGCGTGCGGCAGGAAGACGCACGGACCGCCTCAACAAAGAAGAGCCGGAAAAAAACACTGCACAGAGTTTACGTCTAATGTCTCATACATTTAATGTTATGAACTTTTATTACATTTTTCATTACTGGAACATGAGAGGAGAGAGAGTTTGAATTTCTGAATGTATCAGTATATTTTAAATGGATGCAGATTGAGGTTTGGCGATGGAAATCAAGTTCTTCACATCTCAATTTCCTGCTTTCAGCCCCGCAGCTAACCTACATATAGAAAATTCAATGCAAACAGAAAAACACCAACCTAGAAACAGAGAGAGCATGTAAAATATTTTCTCTGTCTCTTTCACATGGAAACATTTATCCATTGAGTACAAAGTGGAACGCTGATTTTCACCCACAGCAAAAGGCATTGCATTTGCCCATGTGTGTGTGTGTTTGTGTTGGTTTGTCTGTGCCGTTACAACCTGGTGTAACAGATTTTAGTAAAACTTTTGGCTTCAACCCAAATTAAAATGGTTCCCACAGCTAATGAACTTTAGCCATCACACAAATTCCTAAAACATATTTAAATTTACAGAAAAGTTGCTAAATTTGGTGTGCTTGTGGCATAAATCAAGTCCTTTATAAAACGCTAGGCTTTTAATTCACATAAAGTTGTCTCCTTTATGCCTTTTTACTTTGATTCGACTCATTTTCACTCATATTGTCTCCTTTTTAGGTTACACGATAGCAAGAGAGCCCCTGAGCCCTACAGAAACCTGAAGGATGACTCATACGGTACGAAGGTGGACAACCATCAAGGAACGGAGCGCTGTCAGGACATCTGTCACAAACCAAACGGATAAAATGCGCTCAATGAAAACTCTCTGCACCATTTGGAGCCACACATGCAGCATATTCATTTAACTTATTGATGACCCTAACGGACTTCATTAGAGGTGCACAAAGACAACAAATCTACTCCTATTTTCTAATAATGGTCAGTGTGGATGGATAACACTGACATTTCAGCCAAACGTTTGGGTTTGGGTGTGAAACGATACCTAAAGGCTTATCTGATAGTGTTTCTGGGTTCAATCCAGACCTGCTGTCAGAATATAGAAACGATCCTGAAAACTCTGGACACGTTTTGGGAACAATGAAACAGATAAACTCATGAGTAGAAAATAGTGAATTAGCGTCAGCTGCTCTTGTGGGTTGAGTCACCACCATGAAGACTGGTGTTGCAGGAGTCATTTAGCAGTTCCAATTAGGGGACCGCAGTAGGACCATAACAGCGTATTAAAAATGTATGTAGGATATTTGCACTAGTCAGAACCATTTGGGAATGTTTTGTTTTCCAAGATATTGCACATGTTTTGCTGTGAAAACAAAAGACAACTGAAGGTGAGTGTTTTGTAACATGTCTGACGTTTGAAGAACTGTAGATAAATATGCATATCATACCCACTAAATCTGAGTAGTTCTTTGTTATAAACGGCGCAGCCTCTTGAACTTTGCTTTGGCGCGATACGAACATGCACTGTGTGAGTTGTACGTCTCGTTTTTTTTATTATTTTATTTTTTTTGTGCCCAGACACATTTATGAGCTCGGCCTCGGAAGTTATGTATCTTTGATCTGCGATGTTCAGTCTGCGGCGTCTTTTTATGTCAACGGTTTTTAAGGAGGCTCATAAATGTTGGAGCAAAGCAGTTGGTTTTGTCTTTATGTTACTATTGATTGAAAGCATTTTCTCTCCTTCAGACGTTTAAAAGCACTGTAAATACAAAGCACTTATAATAATAGATTTTTTTCGTAGCTATCTTTATGAGGAGATTTATGTTTCTGTGCTCAACGTTTCCCATTGATTGCATCCAGAATTGCAGTAAATCAATGATTCAGTGAGATGTACTGAAATAATTGCAGCAACTAATGCCAGCTTTGCAAACCTGATTGTTCCTCTTCCAGAGTCTCATCATTACTTGCCTTTGGAAAAAAGAAAAGTTTTGTCCAACAAACTGTTTCACAATCTTTTTGCTTGAACTTGAATGTATTTTTTTTTCACTGTCATGATTTGGAAAGGAAGTTTTCTTATCCACTTTTTTCCCTCTCACAGTTTCCGTCTGTCTCTGTGATATGTGAAAGTGTTGGGTCAGCATGCCCACAGTGAGCCTGCTGGGGCCCTGCTTCTCTGCGACTGAGAGCCTCGACATTCAGACATGCTGCCTTGTGAGCTATGATAAATCTTTGGGAGCCGAGCCGCTGACTCTCCAGCTCCAGTGCTGAGCTCTGAGCCAGTGGGAGCTCGGGGACGGCAGGGCTACAGGTGGCAGGCAGCTCCACTCTCTCATTACCGAAAGGCCTGGATAGCACGGGGCTTCTCCTGGGACCACTGACATGAAATATTTTTAGGCTTACGGTGGAACACTGCTGTTAGGCCAGTCACACCACACTGCCCTCTTTCTTTGTGCAGTGTCTCAACAACAATAGTCTATTTAGAGACAGAATGGAGTAACATTCTGCAGCAATGTGCAAGCAGAAAATGAATCAAGTAAAATGTGCACACACACCTGCATCCACCAACATAAGGTGGGAGAAGAAGGGTAAGAGGAGAAAGTGAGTATTTTTCTTAAAGGAATTGCTTGTCAAACTGTTTCTCATCCCTATTATGTAGTATCCTGGTTTCTTTACTCCTCTGTTACCCCAAAATATTTTATGTTCTGTGGATGAGCCTGGTGCCCCCTCTGTCCTACATACTGGTATCTTGCAGCAGCAAAGTCATTGTTTGAGGACTATTTGCTCTGTGCTGCTCCCTGGTGGCTGGGGTGTGACAATGCAGCTTCTTCTGTAGTTACAGTCAAAAAGATGGGGTCACACCTCCTCCTGGGGTCACCTATGTATTTCAGTAGAAAATCTGCAGAGTGCACTGTATGTATCTGTGTTGGCTGCTCGGCGCTGCAGCAGTACAGATGCATGTTCCTCCACATTTGCCAATTTATATATAAAAAAGGAAACGGCTGAGCTTTAAAGGTCTCAAGGTATCCCAGAGAAATTCACATTACCATATCCACCTTTAATAAGATGTTACATAGCTTGCAAATTTAGCAGACACACGTGAATATCTGAAGGTCTTTACAGTGCCCATTTCATGTATAAAATAATTTTAAAAGGTAAAATCATGGTCTGGTGCAACCTTTCAATCAAAGTGGAGGAGTATTAGAAACCTTCAGAAAAAAAAAAAAAAAACAGAAATCTGCTGCTTCTGCTCACTTTCTGTTTGAAATTATTCATTTTTGCTGCCATCTTGCTTGAAGCCATGCAAACACTTAATGCTTTTGGTCATTCCACAAGGGAAACATGATGGCAGTCCTGTTTATTCCCAAGTTGCAGACTTTACAGTCAACAGCAAGCATAGCTTTAGAGAAAAGACACAAGAACAGCATTAGATGGAATTGTACAGGAAATTAATCATTTATTTAAACATAAATACATACTTGAATCTTATTCATTTTTTATTTGGTTTAACATACATTTGCAGTGCTGTTTACATGCATGCCATAGGTTACACACAAAGAGATCCACTTGCACACGTTTCTCACAATTTTGGTTGAACAAATACTAATATTTTCCAGTCAGAAATAGTAACTGAGCTGCTTTAAGTCTAACTAAACAGCTGGCTGCCAATAGGTTAATAAAACTTGTTTCACAGTGTCATTAAAGGGACAGTTTAAATTTTATTTAAAGGGGTTCTTTGAGAGTTATGAATAGTAGACATCTTACCTGAAATAGAACACAGTGAAAGTTATCTCAGTTTAAAGAGGTAGGAAGTAATTGTCAAGTAGGCGTAATTAGCATGTTTGTATTGAGTGTAAATAACCATTAAAATTAACATTAAATAAGAAATAATAATTTAAATAACAGCTTGATGCAAAACTGAAGCGATGTAAATGTTTACAGGTGAGTATTTACCTAAACTGCTATGAAATGTTTGTTGTTTGATTTAATTTAAGTAGCTGAAATCAGCTTTTAGACCAGCCTCAGTCTGATAAGCTGCTAACAGACAAAGTAAAGTAATTTCTTGTTCAGTCTCCAAACTGAGCTTACTATGACTGCTGTCTGCTGCAGGTAAGCTATTGACTACACACAACTATCTGCATGGATCCCCACTTCAAAAACAAACCTTTAGGTAAAAAAACAAAACCTGTGCGTGTGAATTCCTTCAGTGAGTGCGTTGAGCTTTGTAACTTGCAGACCTTTTATATTCATGAAACGCTTCATACATTAAAAGTAAAGAAAAAAACAAGAGTAACACAATCCCTTTGAACTCTGCCTCCAGTAGCCTTATTAGCTTGCTTCAAAAATAATGAAAGGAAACTGTTACTTGAACTGTGGTTACAGAGAACATTACTTACTGTTAAAGAAATATGTATGAAAATGAGATTGTATTAAAGTGAAAGGGGTTGTCTGCAGAGTGTCAGTGGGGAGCCTAACTTCAAACATGGCTTCGGGAGGGGAGGCTTTCATCTCCACTTGTTAGCGACTGGTGGGACCCAGAGGGCAGGAGCCATGAAGGCAAACAAACAGCAGGAAAGAAACGTTGGAACGTAATGAGAGGACAGACAGTTTGTGCAGGAGTGGAAAACACAAGAACAATGAGCTGAATGGAAAAAAAAAAGCTGAGCTGAGGAGTGTTCAGGAGAGGGTGAGTGTGTGAGGAGTATTTTAAGTACGTCTGTTTATTTACTTCCCTGGGTTGTTTCCAAGAGGATTCCTGAGTCGTCAGCCTAAATGCCTCAACAGTTGTAGCAAATTTGCTCAATCAGAGATTACAAAGTAAAAACAAAGGGAGGGAACTCTGTTGTCTTGGCTTATACATCATCTTTTAGTCCAATTTGTTTTAGCCTGCAGTCATTTTCCAGGAAGAAAAATGAGTTTGGGATTCATGTTGAGTGAGAGTGGTAATCTTCAGATGAAGCGAGCCTGTCACAGGTAGAGAGCTGTGTGACAACTTGAGTCAGCACGAGGAAAGGAACAAAAAGAAGTTTGTTGTACAAGAAGCAGGCTCGAACTCCGACTTGCTGAAACTGACACAGCTCTCGGTTAGATTAGCTGATGAAGACGACCTGATCGGTGACATCATCAGAGCTGATGGCAATCGCTCATCTCACTTCACATCACTTTAAATCAAGACAAGGCATTTCTTTATTTATTTCATCTCATTTGAATCCAAACACAATAACGCATATTTAATTAAACAGGCTTGCCATTATTGACAAAACCCTTTATAGAAATTGTATTCAGCCCTTTTATTTATGACAGCCCTCTCTAAACCACAAGTGCATTTTGTTTACAGTGCAACACTTTAGAATAGAGCAACATGGTCATAAGGTTTTATTGGCAATCACAGCTGGTTGGGGGGTGGCGTGGGGATTAATTGCATTAACTCACGTCCATTACCAAGCATAAAATATGTGTCAAACACATCCTAATACAGCCTATTAAGATTCAATGAAACCAAGAAAAAAACAGCAGCCAAACAATTAAAAGTGCCTTTAATATTCATTTTGCAGCAGGTCTGCAACGGGCTGATATTGACGGTGGGGTGAATGAGGGATTCATTAACATCTCCTCCCTCACCACTTCCTCTTGCTGAGCCCTTCCTTGCTGCGTCGTCAAACCCACTTATCTCTCTGAAGCAATTAGCCACTGGAGGCTCCACTGACCTGAGCCTTTGTTAGACTAACGGGTTACATTAGCATGGCCATAGCCTGGCAGTGTTGGCAGCGCATGTGCTGCTGCCAATGTGAGCAGCACTGATAAACAGGAGCCCTGCAGTGTGTGTGTGTGTGTGTGTGTGTGTGTGTGTGTGTGTGTGTGTGTG